CCTCGCATTGGTCTGCAGGCTCTCTTTAACCAAGCTCCGTTTAAATCCTTCACTCTGACTGCAAGCTCCGTTTAATCCCTCAAATTGGACTGCGAGCTCTCAGTTTAATCCCTCACGGAACTGCTTATATCTGGAACTGCTTACGTATTATGGAACTGCTTACGTATTGTGGAACTGCTTAGGTATTATGGAACTGCTTATGTATTACGGAACTGCTTATGTATTACGGAACTGCTTATGTATTATGGAACTGCTTTTATGGAACTGCTCATATTGGGACTGCTCATACCTGGAACTGATTATATGGTACTGCTTATACCTGGAACCGCTTATACAGTGCATGGAACTGCATATATTGGTTCTGCTTATATCTGGACCTGCTTATATATGGATCTGCTTATATATGGATCTGCTTATATACGGAACTGCTTATACATGGATCTGCTAATATATGGAACTGCCAATATATGGAACTGCCAATATATGGAACTGCTAATATATGGAACTGCTAATATATGGAACTGCTAATATATGGATCTGCTAATATATGGATCTGCTAATATATGGATCTGCTAATATATGGATCTGCTAATATATGGAACTGCTAATATATGGAACTGCTAATATATGGAACTGCTAATATATGGAACTGCTAATATATGGAACTGCTAATATATTGGAACTGCTCATATTGGAACTGCTCATATTGGAACCGCTCATACCGGAACTGCTCATATTGGAACTGCTCATATTGGAACTGCTCATATTGGAACTGCTCATGCAGTATATGGAACTGCATATATTGGTACTGCTTATATCTGGAACCGTATATATATGGAACTGCTTGTATATTGAACTGCTTGTATATGGAACTGCTTGTATATGGAACTGCTTGTATATGGAACTGCTTGTATATGGAACTGCTTGTATATGGAACTGCTTGTATATGGAACTGCTTGTATATGGAACTGCTTGTATATGGAACTGCTTGTATATGGAACTGCTTGTATATGGAACTGCTTGTATATGGAACTGCTCGTAGATGGAACTGCTTGTATATGGAACTGCTTATATCTGGCTCCGTCTCCTCCCTCAACGACGCTGTCTGCCCGGACGCGGGGTGCCGCTCCGACCTGGCGTTCGGGTCCCGTCTGCTGAGCCGCTGGGACGGTGTATTTTTTTTTTTTTTTACAGTGACGTCATCCCGTCCTCAGATGCCCTGCGGTTCTTCACGGACGCAGCCCCGTCCGTGGGTTTTGGGGGTCTCTTCCAGGTCCAGTGGTTCGCCGGGCCCTGGCCCGACGCCTTCCCTCAAAGCATCTCCTCCGCGCTCCCGATAACCTTCCAATGTCATCCGTCTGTTTCAGAGCCCAACTCAAGTCTGTACTGCTGCTTGTAACCTGTCTCCCCATCTCTACACAGCCCACTCCTTCGGATAGGCGCCGCCACGCGCGCCGCGTCCCTTGGGCTCCCCTATTCCGCCCTCCAGCAGCTGGGCCGCTGGTCATCATCGGCCCTCTCCTCATACATCAGGCCTGACACTTCGACCATCCTGGCAGCCCAGCGCCTCTTTGCATCTCCATAAAACACTTGCAAAACTTCCTGGTGGCGGCAGCAGCTGAGTATCCGCAAGCATGGTCGCAGCAGCTGAGTATCCGCAAGCATGGTCGCAGCAGCTGAGTATCCGCAAGCAATGGTCGCAGCAGCTGAGTATCCGCAAGCAATGGTCGCCCGCAGAGACTGTTCGGCAGAGACTGTTCGGCAGAGACTGTTCGGCAGAGACTGTTCGGCAGAGACTGTTCGGCAGAGACTGTTCGGCAGAGACTGTTCGGCAGAGACTGTTCGGCAGAGACTGTTCGGCAGAGACTGTTCGGCAGAGACTGTTCGGCAGAGACTGTTCGGCAGAGACTGTTCGGCAGAGACTGCTCGGCAGAGACTGCTCGGCAGAGACTGCTCGGCAGAGACTGCTCGGCAGAGACTGCTCGGCAGAGACTGCTCGGCAGAGACTGCTCGGCTGAGGATCCGCAAGTTTGGTCACAATAGATAGCGGTCACAGCATATAGTGATAGCGGTCACAGCATATAGTGATAGCGGTCACAGTATATAGCAAAAAAATGGTTAGCGGTCACAGTATATAGCGATAGCGGTCACAGTATATAGCAAAAAATGGTTAGCGGTCACAGTATATAGCAAAAAATGGTTAGCGGTCACAGTATATAGCAAAAAATGGTTAGCGCGCGATGGTCGCGACTCGTCAGCATATAGCGATAGCGGTCACAGTATATAGCGATAGCGGTCACAGTATATAGCGATAGCGGTCACAGTATATAGCGATAGCGGTCACAGCATATAGCGATAGCGGTCACAGCATAGAGTAGTCTCGACGTCTGTCCCCTTCAAACCAGGCTGCAAAACTCCATCAACTCACAACCTTTTTGGGGATTGGCATGCTCCATCGCAGAGCCCCTCCGATCTGAAGGCCGCACCGGGGCCTAGGGCGCCAAACCTCCTCCCAATAAATACTCAAAAGCTTCTTGTTTCACGTCTCTCCAAATTGAAATGCAGCCAGCGTAAGTTCAATTTGGTAGACGTCAGCCAAAGGTAACCCCTCCAGGCCGGTTCTCATCCCCAGCCTATCGCGCTGCAAACGCCCCCTTCCAATCACCGGTCCAGCCAGGCAAGCTGCTTAAAAGCGGAGGAACTCCCATTCTCGGCCTCTTGAAGCCTGCAGCCACCGCCTCCCCTCCTCCTCCTCTTCACCCTGCTTCATTCTGCCTTCAATCTGTTCCCGCTGCCAAATGCCGCCACCAGTGCCTAGGTCCCGGGGGATTGGCATGCTCCATCGCAGAGCCCCTCCGATCTGAAGGCCGCACCGGGGCCTAGGGCGCCAAACCTCCTCCCAATAAATACTCAAAAGCTTCTTGTTTCACGTCTCTCCAAATTGAACTGTTATTATGCAGTGCAACTTTTTGGAAAATGTGCATTATTGTTTTCACAGATGGATTCACCACTCAAAATACAAATCAAATGAAATAAAACAAATTCCCATACAAGAGCAGTTATGGCAGAACCCCATTCTCACAGTTTGATGCCTTGGTCTTCTGGTTATCATCCCATTCCTACATTTGCGTAGATCTGACATTTTGGAGCTAGAGGCTTATTATTATTATTACATGATTATTACATTTAAGGTATTTGTTTTCAGGGAGTTGCAATCAAAAGAACTGTAACATACAATTGTGATGCTGTTGTTTGTAGGACGGAGTCGAACAACATTGTAATGTTGGGTGGGGAAACAGGATGCAGCAGCACAGTCTAATTGCTATCTAGGCAAGGCAAGGCAAGGCAAGGCAATCTACTGAATTATTTTCCATTTTTAAACTACCACATTTGGTGCCGCATTCTATTAGTACAACTTTAACTATACTGATTCATCAAACGTTTGTATTCAATTTAATGTTTATTACACAAAAGAAATTCTCACTTTCGGCTTTTTGAGCGCCATAAATACTGGATCAGCAGTATAACTCCCATCAGAACATTCTCCCTCAGGACCCTCAGATGTGTCCAACAAAGAGGTCCTGCTTGGTGCATTCCTGTGCACATTGGAAGAGGGTCTTTCTGTTGTGGAGATAGGGGATCATTAAAGGAGCACGTCTGCTTATTATAAGAAGGTCTTTGTGTTCCTTCCTCATCTCAATGTGGCCTTTGTGCAGACTGCTGGGTATGCCGTCAAAGTCAAGTTGGGGGAATTATTTGGGCCTTTATCTGCCATGCTGTAGGCTGTGGGCATAAAGTGACCATTTTAGAGCAGAGAGGAGGGCCCTGAGGCGGCTGCTATGTAAGCATTTAGTATGGAGGTGGAAGTGGAGGAGACTGGCTGGAGCCTCAATCACGTCATAGCAGAAAATCTCTTAAAACATTGTTGTTCTTCATCTTTTAGAGATCATTCATAAGCTGGTATTATTAGCTGGAAGCAGGCAATATCATGAAGCGACTAGCACCACCAAGGCTTTTACTTTTTACTTTACTTGCATTGTGTAACTGGTAGAATGCAAAAAGAAATGTTATTTACGATTACAAACAAAATCAAACATACTGTAGGCTTTGCGATTAAGCAAAATTGTTCTCCCTGTGTCTGTAAGTCTCGTCGGGGCGCTCTAATTTCCCCTAAATATGACAAATTAAGGCATCTGTCAATCCTCATGGCCTATATCTGGATTCAGAAAGACAGTATTCAATTACCATAAAGTATCATAAAGAGCCCTAAACCACAGATTAGTTTAAACCTAAAACGGTTACTAAGCTTGACCTTTTAATGTAAGTCAATAGGAGCCAGAGAGAGATGGACCAAAACTAAGTCCATGAGATCTTCCCTATGGTCGAGCTAGCTAGCAGGTTAGCATTGTCCATCTATACACAGCCTATGCACCCGGTTTGCTGCTGAAAGTGTCAGCCACCCAAGCAGCCAAAAGGAATGAACAGGCCATGCATAGTGCCACATTACTGCATGCTTGGAGATGATGACATTATGCTGTAATGAATGTCCCTGGTTATCTGAGCCATAGCTGGGTCTCCACACCTTTGACCCAATGGGGGGGAAACCCTGTTAGCAGAGCAGGCCGCTTTGATCATGTCGTGACCCCAATGATCGCACTGCCCCTTTGCCACGTCCAGGCGTGGGGAGGGCGCTGCTGCGGATGGTATGCAGACATCTCAAGACAAATTGTCCTCTACCATTGTGACTTTTATGGACACATGCACCCACATTATGTCTGCATGTACTGATGAGTCATTCGAGCCAAAACATCCTTCCCATCCTTAGACTAATAAACAAGTGCAAGCTATCACAACACACCATGTACGCAAGCTCTATACATTCACAATAAAGTACTTGAACCGGCCATATTTATGTACTGTGTTTGTGCTGAGTCCTTAATGTTTGCATTGGCCACGTATAACGCTTAACGTGTAACGCTTATGTTGTGTGTTTGTGTCAGGGCGGGAAGAAGCACAGCGGCCCATGTGGGGGGAGAGACTGCAGCGGAGGATGTCAGTGCTTCCCAGAGAAGGGAGCCAGGGTGAGTCCCCTCTGACCATAATGTAAACACCTGTATCTTCCTCCTGTACTTCCTCTCTGCTCTCAGATCAGAGGAAACCTTTGTGTACATGTCACACATTTTGAAACTACATCAAATGAACCTGAATCCTGTTCCTAACGCCTTATTGGTCGGTCATCATTAATTTAGGTCATAAATGTATAGTATTTGTAGCTCATCATTTGAACTTGGTGCACACTAGTGTAGTCGAGCACAGTTTTTCCAATGTGGTTTTACTGCAAATGGCAAATAAATGAATCTGAATCTGAAGGAAAAGAGCTATTCTGACACACTTTTCTTCATTTTAAGAGGTGAAATTATTAATCAAGCTAATCAAAGTAATCAATTACAAAAACCTATTTGCCTCGATTAATCGTTTTTGTCAATAATTACTCAAAACCATGTGACTCAGCGCTCTTCCACCCTGAGTAACATACTGATTTAAAAATTTAAAAAGTACATTCATTAGTTATTTATTTAAAATCTGATTTCACACAAAAAAACATTTTTACTGTGAAACATATCTCATCTTAAAACCTATTTTCAATATGCAGAGATGTTGGACAAAAGTATGTAGCAAACACAATAATCAATTGATTAGTCCATTGCTAATATTATTGATAGCTGCTGCCCTACTTTCTAACATACAGTTGGCAAAGAATGCATTTTTGAATTCTTGTGATTTTGTATGGTTTAATTATATTGGCATAAATAAGTTAAGATAAACCTTTATTCGTCTCACAGTGGAGAAATTTCAGTGTCATCGTTGCGCACATTACAGCAGAGAGAGAAAATAAGAGCACTCAGATTGCACACATCATATTGAGTTTATTATTTAAGATAATAGACAATAAAATTAAGATAAAAATAAAATAAAATGAGATAAACTCTGGGCTGTAATTGCACTTGGTTCGGAAATATAGGCAGAATAAACATCAGAAATAATATCAACAGGTAAAGTGACTTGAATGGGAGAATTATCAGATGGATATGTAATAATACAGTCAAATATCAACAGGTAAAGTGACTGGTGAAAGGCAGAAATATCAGATATGTATTAATGCTGTAGTACTGATAACAGGTAAAGTGACAAGTGACAAAGTTACTTGTGAATTATCAGTGACACATATTACTTATTAATTATTTGTTTAAATACTTTTCTAGTGACTTTTACACGCATCATGTGAACGGGTGTGAAGTCTTTAGGGAATCGTTAAGAGACAATTGGAGACGGGGGGAGGCCGAGACTTCAGAGAGTTCCACTTAGACTAAACAGCGAGTGATAAGAGCCGGACTGTGTTCTGCTTCACTGCTCACTTCACACACTCACTGTACATCAGATACAAGCCTCTAATCATGGGACCCACCATAACATGATGTTTTGAAACACCAAAGAACGGTCCACTTCAAAGAGAGTCTCATCCTAAAGTGGCTAGAGGATGCGGTTACATTTTTTTTTTTTTAAAGAGTAGTGTTTTAATTAGATTTTTCTTTGCTATCGTGGATTTATCCTTTTTTACTGAAGACATCTGTCACAATTAATAGTTTTGACTCGGGTATAGCTGGTGGCAGTCAGGAGGCCAAGGATGTTCTTTGGTGATGGTTCATATGAAAAGTTTGAGAAACACAGTATTCCTCTGCAGTGAAAGGTCATGGGTTCTACAGTTGATAAACAGTTTATCTGCATCGTGGATAGTGCTGCTAATATGGAGCAATACTATCGGTAACACTTTATTTTAGCACCCACTAACTAACAGCTAATTAAGCGCTAATTAGTGTATTCATGTATGGTTAATTAGCTCTTTATTGGTATTTATTAGGCACTTACGAAACAATAAGATATATAAACAGACAGACTGCATGTGACTTTCAGAGGCCTCTAACGGGAAAATAAATTGAGATTTGAAGTAAGATGTCTGCAGATTCTGACATAAATTACTCTACCAGTCCTCCTGAATTTATTACCCAGAAATGACAGGATATAAGATATATGATCTGAAACATCCTTTTGTCTAAAGCACACCACATACACCCTTTTCCACAAAGCTGGTGCCGGGAAGGGGCACAAGCGCTGTTTAGTCTGAGTTCAGCAGTGTGGCATACATACTCACATACTAACCCACATTGTATTTGTGGTGTTGAAGACTCTCTGAGGAGCAATTAAAAATGAGGAATGTTCCTGTTCATGTATGCTGGCATCCTCTGAGGACTGGTCTACAGCAGGCCGACCTTCAGGCCTTTGGCTGGGCTGTCAGAGCAAAGGAAGCACTTGGAGAGGGCTGGTGGAAAGAGGAAGCAGAGTTCCACTTGAGAAGGAAGTCCGAGTCTATAAGGGTCAGCTGCCCATTACCTCATGTATTGTTTCATTTGTGGATTCTGCGTCATGACCATGTTTTATAGATGACACTCAATAATTACTACTTATCTTCGCACTTATTTCCAGCAGCTGGACTAAGAGAGTCTGTAGGCTCAAGCAGCAATTGGAAAAGTGTATGCATTAAAAACACCTGTTGTATACATGAAATGACTGTGCTTTAAAGGTATTTAGCCGGGAGTCCTGTCTCTCAGAAAATAGGTATAGTAACATTCAATTCAATTGAATATATTTTTGTATAGCCCTTAATCACAACAGTAGTTGTCTTGGAGGCCAACACAGATCAGAGAACCAAACAGTTCAAACACAAGAAATTCAATGCCCAAAAAACACTGGCCTTTGGTCCATAAAGCGATGACCAATGTCCATAAATGTTGTTGAATGTCGAGTTTTTTGTATCATCACCATTGTCGTTCGGCAAGGAAAAAGTCAATAAAACGCATGATACAAAAGTTATCAGTGAACTTTAAATATTAGCATTAGGCCAGTCATATTGCAATCATATGATTAAAAAGCTTGAACTGTCTTGTTTATTTAAATATTTTGTTCTAACACTCATGAATGAAAAATTGTCCAACACTTTGCGCAACTATTAACTGCACTCTTGATGGATCGTCGCAGATGTTTTGTCCCTGTGAGCGATGAACTAGTGTTTCCAAATGTTTTATATTCAACAGCTGTTTTGTTTGGTGAGATATTTATACAGCTGCCACGATTATAACATGCCACATTTAGCCACTTCTAGACAAAATCTTAGCTCTGTGTGATTAAGAATAATGATCTAAATGATGGAGAAAGACCAAGATGTGGAAATCATATCGTGTTGATTATCAGTAAAAGTGGAAAGAGATTAATACACTATTCATTTGGAGTCAAATACATGCAGAGTGGAGAAACAGTGGGGAATTGTTCTACCAGAGGATGTTAAGGTCTTGTGCATTTGTGACTTGGCAAAGCGCCTTGTCCACCCCTAACCACCCACTACACTTGTGTTTAAAGGCATGCACAAGTTCCTTCAGCTCTGCCACTGCACATCTGCTAAAGCTGTGCAATCGCCATTAGAAATAAGTGTGTAATAAGAAAAGAGATGGCCTCACTATGCTGGCTGCAGGTATTTGGAGATGCACCAAAGATACAAGCACAGAGAGAAGTTCTCACCATAGTTTCATATCAACAAAACAAAACAAAATCGCAGATTTAGCCCTACTTGACAATGAAAGTATACATTTATAAAAGAAAATCCAGCTATCCTGATTGTCAGCCACTCAAGTTACCTGATAGTATACCAAGTTTCAACTGGGCAATAATATTAAAATTTTAGTATTGTACTGTGCTTCTAAAGATATAATTTGAAAAATATCCTCTTTGTATTTAGACGTACAAGATATGACACGCTGGAGGAATCCAGCACAATGACAGCCTACTGAACTCTATATAGTTTTATAGCCTGTCCTTATGCACAAGAACAAGTTGTCTATGTGAACTGTCAAAAGAAGCTATTTTCTCGTTGGATAAAAAAAAGAATTCTATTTATTTTTAACCCAGATTTCTGGAGAACTGGATCCTTCAGACATCACAGAGCACTTCTTGTCTTGGAGCTGAACTAAAGCCACATTAGTGGGAGCATTCTCCATAGTTTAAACATAATTATTTTTCTTCTCACGTAAAACAGAAACATCTGTCTTGAGAGCCTAGATAAGTTTGTGGATTGATTTAGTGCTTCTGACTGTCCGTCGGTTTACATTACATGTCTTATGGTGAAGGACACAGGACACAGACAGTTCCAGCTCTATCTGAAGACCATCAATTACAGTAGTCATGACCCCACTTTATGAACATTGTAATGATGAAAAACGTGTGTTACTAAGGCAATAGCATGAGAGGATTTTCTTTAGCATTGAGGTATGTGCAGGTTGGGGTTTATAGGGGCTCTGGTGGTGTCTGAAGTCTCTAAATAACTGGAGATCTTAGACAAACAGATGAGCAGCTGCTGCATGTGTTCGTACAGCACCATGGACTGTGTACAAGTCCATCACTGACCCTCACCACGGGTCAGAGGCTTTAAAGATTCTACAGCATCCCAAGCTGCCCTGGTGTAAATATACAGAGGTGTGGAGGCTGTTCCCCCAAGAAATGTGCACAACTCAAAGTGTATGTCCAATGTAAACAGTAAAAAACTACACTGCAAAATGCATTTCAACTCAAAATTGTAAGTCCAACAGTTGCTTTAAAATCTTGGTTTCTAACAATTACAATACAATACTTGCTTTGGTCATCACCATTTGTGGAGTGAATGGAAAAATATCTGAACTCTGAACATTGTAAAGCAAGCGATTAGAGTGACCTCGGTCTGTAAAATGCTCTACATATATTTTTCTGAACTTTTAACCCCCTACGAGCCCCTCGGGCGGGTCCCTGTTGACTGTTCCAAGGTCGAGGCTCCGGACGAAAGGTGACCGAGCCTTCTCTGTCCGGGCTCCTCGGCTTTGGAACGACCTGCCCGAGGAGATAAGGCTCGCACCATCAGTATCCTCTTTTAAATCTCTTCTTAAAACCCACTTTTATCAAACAGCTTTTAACTGTTAGTTTTAAACTTCCGATGCTGTAT